GGGGAATTCTGGGAGTTGAAGTCCACACGTCTTAAAGTTGCCAAGGTTGAGAAACCCTGGTTTGGACCCTAAGCTTCAGTCCACCCAGGTTGGTAAGTTGGACCTGCAGCAAAATTCAGCAGCTGCTCTTCTTCATCCAGGAACCTCCTTTTTATTTCTCCTCCATTTTCCATTCCTTCTACGGATTTTGTTGACATGTCTGTTGTTTTAAGTATGTGGGTGTTTCTTTGCATACACAGGCTGCTTTAGTTATATAAGGAACAGTCTTCCCATTGGATATCCAGTTTTTTTCTTCTTTTTTTAAAAAAAGTTGTTTTTCTTGAGATTCTTCAAGCCAGCTGTGGCATGAATCAATAAAATTAAGGACATGCCTTGTTTTCTCCCCCAAACATACACTACTCCACCACAACCACATTTCTGGAATTTTCACATTTTAGGAAGCTATCTGTGGTTCATCCCGTCCTGGAGATTAAGTAGCCCGTGCAACTTTCCCCCCTTTTTGGACAATTCTGCTGAATGAGTACACTTAAAAAATATTCTGCAGAATTCTTTTCTATATTAGGGTGTACTCCGATCCAAATGTTGGGTTTCTCAACGCGTCTAAAATAAATAACCCGGTTCCATTAAGAAGACTCTCAAAGGCGGCCCATCTTTTTCTTTTTAATTTAATCAAGCTATTTGCAGATAACAGGAGTCCTGGCGTCCTATACAGAATCCTTTTGATTTTGCAGCCCTGCGAGAACCGATCACGAGATTCTGGTGAGTAACTCTGGCCCCTGATAAAATTTGGTGCAAGGAACACAATTCTACGAGGGCTGAGTTCATCCCTTTCAAAAGATTCAGGGTATCGCTTAAAAATCAGGCTCTCCTCCAGCCATGTTAAGGTCCCCTCCCTGTCACCACCTCTGATACTCTTACGCTCCATTGTTAATTTTTTAAAAAAAATTGTGATCTCATTCCGGCAGAACTTCTAAAAGCAACAGTGACGTTGGCCTTGCCATTCACACCCACAGCTCCTCCTGTGCCCAAGTGTGCAAATCCTCAACAGCAACCCCGATCTTTTCAAAAGGGGTGACGGATCTCATTACAACCCCTAACCAGCTTCCTAACCAAATTACACGCCCGTTTGGCATCTTCATGCAAAGTGGATGGATTGGATCGCTAAAGATAAGATCTGAGATGTGGAACAAACTAGCTTTAGCTCACCCTTTTTGTATTTTTGACCAAGGTATTACCCCCCACCAGAAATATATTCTAGCAACCTCCTGGGGATCTTACTCTGATGTCTGGCTTGCTGTTTGGCAAGGGGCTATGGCAGAAACCCAGCCTGTATGAATGGGAAGGGACTTCAGAGGTCACCTAGCTCAACCTTCCTGCTGGGTGCAGGAATCTGCTAAACCACCCTGGATGGGTGGCCCTCGCCCTGTTTGAAACTCTGCAGTGAGGGGGACCACCCCAGTTCTCAGCAGATACTTCCACCGCTTAACAGCTCAACCATGAGGACCTGCTTCCTAATTTCAGGCTGACTCTTTTTTGAATTTCAACTCAACGGCTCTTCTGCTTTTGGTTTCAGCAGAGAACTGCAAGTAACAGCCTTTTAGACAACATTTCTTAACCTTGGCAACTTTAAAACGATGTGTAAACGTTGCAAACTATAGTTCAAACCAGTGTTTCTCAATCGTAACAACTTTAAGACAAGTGGACTTCAACTCCCAGGATTCCCCAGCCAGCATGGCTGGCTGGGGAATCCTGGCAGTTGAAGTCCACCGTCTTAAAGTGGCCGAGGTTGAGAAACACTGGTGTAGTGGTTACAGTGCCAGAGCAGGAAAACCCAGTTCAAATTCTTGTTCAGATAACCTTGGAGTAGTCAACCCTACCCTGGGGTTAAACAAATCACTTAAAAAAAAAAATCACTTAAAAAAAAAATTCACTAGGGGTAATTCTGCAGGTTCCATCAGCCTTAAGCCTGCACCTCCAGGGTTATCTGCCTGAACAAGGAGGGCAAAGAAGGGCTGCTCAGGTGTTCAGAAGTGACCTGCCCCAGGCTGCTAAGCCACGATGGGAAGAGGAAGAACCCAAAGATTTCCTGAACCAAACAGACCTTTCTGCCACTAAAGATGTGTACTCTAGACCTTCCAACATACCTTTGTTGAAATTCACCCAACCTTTGTGCTCAAGTTCCTGCTGACCTCGCTGAAAGTCACCTAACCGGTTTTACAGGCAAAATGGAAGAATTGCAACACAGGGAGGAATTAAGTTCACTTTGATGTCCAACCAAAGAAGGAAAGGTCCTTCCCCCCTTCCTTTCTGGGATGTCTGCATGTGAGTGGCAGACAAACAGGATCCTAATTGGTTGGCACGAGTGCTCCCACATCAGGGGTGGGCCTTGCCTGCACCCCAACATTCATTTCCTGCTTTGCACAGCTCGGGTGCAGAGCTGAGGGCAGCCTATGGCTCGAAATGCCCATTTTCTTCTTGTACAGAATTCTGCCTCCCCACATAAACTCTGAAAATGTATTTTGGCTCTCCCTAGTACAAAACCCCATGTCGTCACTTGGTTACTTGCTTCATGTCAACCATGCCAGAAATGCCTCTCTGACATTTCCAACTGTGAGCGCCTCCTGGTTCAACATTCTCCAGGGCTCTCCAAACGTTTCTCCACCATGCTGACCCAAAACGGAGGCTGATGGCGGGGATCTTTGGGCCCTGGGCTATGGGGCTTCCAGATCTTGTGGCAGGACATCCCATAGCCTAAACTGCAATCCCACATGTGCTTCCCAGGAGTGAGATCTACTGACCTTGGAGTCCCAAGATGCCCCAGGACTACCCTCTGTATTGGCCCCATGCAAAAGGAGTGTGGCCTCTTGAATCTCAGAGACTACAGCAAGTTGGCCACAAAAGATATTTATAACTTTCTCTCCCACACAGAACCTCTGTGATTTGTGCTCCCCCGCAGGTGATCCCAAAAAACTCATCCTTCCTAAAATGCGGATCTGTTATTTATAGTTTGCTTACACATCACACACAGGGAAACAAAGGAAATTCTAAGTTACAGGCCATTTTAAGCTCTCGTTTGTGTGCTAATCTGTTCCCAGACTAAAAATACAGATGCTCAAGACGTGGGTCTAACCAAAACAGCTGCAACGTCACCCTTCACCTCCGACTGCACCCAATTTAGGTGGCAGGGGTGAGAAGCAAAGGCCAGACGTGCAACGGAGGTGGCCGCTGCTGAAAATTAAAACCTTGGTGCTCTTTTTAAAGGGCACTTTTAAAATTACGGAGTCGGAAATCACTATTTTGGGGACAAGACTGTTGTCTCTTTCCATCTTCTCCTGGGCGGAGCAAGTCAAAACTGGATTGTTTGAGAGGGAG